CGAGTGAGCGAGTTGCGTAACTTAACTGCTGGCCGCTGCCTTTCGCCCTAGCTGGCTGTGGCGCTGCCCTATGAAGTGCTAAATTGTCGCTGCCCTATGAAGTGCTAAATTGTCGCTGCCCTTTTCGATTCAAAGTGTGAAAATAAAGGTTTGTGTCGCCCTTTAAAATTTTAAGCAGCGCTGCCTTTGCAAGTGTTGGCATTGTGGCTATGTAAAGGGGTTTTTCAGAGGGGCTAAAAAATAACCCGCTCTTAAAAGGCGGTGAGGGTGGTTTGTCAACCCTTTTTTGTCGCTTCTTTTTTTTTTGCCACCGCTTTAAACTGTAGATATGAACATAATACGCTCAAATAATTGTTAAAGGATCTCTAATCTCGTGGATATTACTAAAATATTGGGGAGAGAGCAAGATAGAAATTTAATTTTTCTTTGGAGAGAATGCTGTATTTACATGACTTGAAGCTCTGGTCTGACCCAGGATCCTCCAGAAAATTTCGATGTCCAGCATCTGCTTTGGACTTCTATAAAACCTTTTAAATGTTTACACAGGCATGCCTACATCTGTGCCTGTGTCTGAAGTTCAGCCCATGAGAACTGCCCAGCTCCACAGAAAGGAATGGGACAACTCACAATAACATTGCTGGGAACAGGGTGGCTCAGTGTCACTGATGTGCTGACAAATCACTCAATAAAAATAGTAGTTTAAATCTTAAAAAAGAGATTTCTCCCTTGTAATTATTTATTTTAAAATTAAGCACAAGCTTTTCTCGCTCTTGGAATATTCTGCATTAGGAGATGATGCTTGCAGATTAATTAAATTATTAATATATGTGTTTGTGAATACTGAGTGTTTGGAAACACTTAGGGCTTTACAAGTCGTACATGAGGAATATACCAAATACAGAAAAGATGGAGCCCAGTGATGAGAAGAAGCTGAAAGAACATGACTGCCTGCCTTGACCAAAAGAGAAATTATGAATATATTAGAAAGTAGTAATGTATTTTGCTTGTTATTTGAAGCAAAAAAAGGGAAATATGTCTTTCTTAAAACAAAATTAATGACTTAACACAAAATTAATGAGGCAGTTTTGAAACATACCCGAGTTTCCTTTGTTTTGCTTTTATCCTGGAACTGTAACATAGGCTTTCTGCAACACAACAGCAAATTCTGCCTGTAAGCCAGTAAGCTCAGTTCTTCCCAAACTTGTTAGGTGGCAGAAGCTCACAAGCGATGCTGATCTGACATCCCAGCAACCTGCCTGCAGCACTCCTCCAGCAGCAGTGTGAGCTTCCTGGGGCTCTGCAGTCTAGACCTGGACTGACTACCTGCACCCCAAGGTGAGAGCAGCGGTCTCACGTGCTTACACATTCACTAGCACCTTTTGTTAGGGTGACAACAAAAGGACTGACTCTCCTGGTGAATGGTGCTGTTGTTTGAGTTGCTGAATTATGCTTTTGTTACGTAGTTCTGTAGAGACTTCAGATGGACGATTTCATTTCATAGACAGGCAGACCACAAACAGCTCCTTTGACTGGGAGGAGGTGAAGCTGGTCCAAAAGGAACTGTCTCATCTAGTTCTCTTCTCCAGGGATGTTTTTGTTGGCTTGAATGCCGTAGGGATCTGGGTGTTTCCTCCTATGACCAGATAGACTTGGGTGAAGTAGAGACACCAGTCAGACTCCAGAAAACACAAAGCAGTCAAAGCCATAGACTTTGGAAAGCCATGGGCATTTGGAAAATGCTTTTTAACTCTCATATAGCTTTTTTTTCCTTTTCTGATGGGCTTGGCTCTTTGTTTTATAGACTCTTTTCTTCTTGAAGTATCTTCATCAGTTGAGTACTTTCGCCAGCTCCTTCTCTGTCACTTTCTCCATTATGCTTCTTTGGTGTTTTAACTTGCTCCTTTATAGATGAGTGTCTGCACTTCATTCTTTCAAAATGCAACTTTAACATAATGTTCTCTTTTATTACATTGATTAGTTTGAGCATGGTTTATATGTAGTCTCTTGTTTTTCACACATCTTGAGTAAGATAACAGAAGAGAGAACAGGCACTTCTGTACAGATCACAGATCATTGCTACTTTACAAATTCATTGCCAACAAAATGTTTTTAGTGAGGCAACCTTTGGTTTATGTTAGAAATTTTGCTGTAACCCATAATTATTTATGAGGACACGGGCTAATATTCCCCATAGGTACGTTGCTCACTAATTGGACTCAGACTATTTACAGGCCCCCAGCATGTTTTGTTACTATGTTTTGTAGTTCTTTTGCTATTGTAGATATGTTAGGAGGTTATTTGGATATTAATTTTTTCCAGGTATTAAATGAAAAAAGGGGAGGTTATGGGTCTCTGAGAAGCCTGTAAAATGATTTTGTTCTACCTGTGACGTAAGCATGTTTGCATTCTTGGCAAGTAAAAATCTAACAAATTGTCTATTTGAGAATTGAGCTTCTAAGAGCATAGGCTGTTATAGTCCTAAGGGAATCTTAAAACACAGGCAGAGACTGGCTATGAAAAGGAAAGGAAAAATTTGTGTCACTGTTTTAACAATAGACTTCTTTCATGTGGAGGACCTAGATGTCTGTTAATTACTAACTGGCTTGAGGGTTTTGGATTCTGGCCCAATATGCTGAAATTCTTAACAATCCGCTGGCTGGCATATTCTTCAAGGACTGTATTTGGAAACTGATAACGTAATGGATTTCCTCTTTATAGACTGTTTATGTAGTAGAAACGTTTTCATTTTTAGCTATGTCTCTGTCTTACAGTCTCGGTATTCATTGCCGGCATACATTCCAGATAGTTGTGTGAGCGCAGAAAGCAAGAGCTGGTTTGGAGGTTAGATAATGTTGGCCCAAGTTGAGCAGCATGTGTTGTCTTTGCTGTGCCACAGCCCCACCACAATGATCAAAATGTAAAACTCTGCCCTCTAATTTTAGGTGACTTGGATGAATTAACAAGACCTGAAAGCCTGTGATTACTATTGCACTTGAAAGAGTCTAAGATCTCTGGAAACAAGGCAGTAGATGTATATGACGAAAGGAATCCAAAATAAATGGAAGCCTAAAAACCTTTTTATCATCCTTTTTCCATGTGAACATGGCCGTATATTTGTCTGAAATAAATTTTCACTGGTATTTTCTGAAGTAAATCTAGTAGTTGTAAATTATTCCAACCCTTTTGATGAGTTCTGTTTGTGGGTTTCCATGCAGATTAAAGTATGTGCACCAAGTATTTTCATTAAATGAAGATGTAGTAGACAAAAATCTCTAAGCAATCTGCAAGATTGAATGAATCTATGGTGTTCCCACTCTTAAGAGATGTTCTGTGGAGACCTTCACACTCCCTTTTGTTTTGCCTTTTAGTTTTTAAATCCAACTGCGGAGGAAGTTGTCCTTGTGGTGCCAGCTGATGGAAGGTTCATCAATTTAGTGCTGATCTTGGTAGCAGGTGTGCAAAGGCCAGGGAGGCAGTACCTGGCATAGAATTGGACTTGAACTAATAAAAGCCATCAAAAAAGCAGCGTATGGCAACAACCTGAAGTAATTATTATGTGTAAATGAAATAACCACATTCAAATAAAACCGAAACCTGTAAGGTTTCAAATATACTAAGAGAAATTTGACTAAAACCCTATAAAACTGGGTGAATACATGTTGTGGTGAAGAGGCTCAACAATAGGGCTCTTAATAAGTATATTCTGGACTAAATAGTCCTTAGTTGCAACTTCCTGTTGGAAAAATAATTTAGTTGAAGAAAACCCTAATTTTTTAGTTACTGTTTTCTCTGATCCAGTTCGGTGTGCTGCATTAGCACTTGGTTTGGCCTAACTTAGTAAAGGTGTGGAACTGACAGTAAGGTGTGAAGAACCTGCTTCTCCTTACTGTAAGGAGAAGCAAGAATGGGAAGCAGTATTGTCTTATTAATATGTATTGCATTTGGTTTTGTTTTTAAGCATTATGATGGGTCAGGGAAGACACAGTCCCCTGAACATTTAAAATTGGCAAAGAAGGGAACAGTTTGGATATCCTATGCTTCTCAGCCCCTCCCTGTTCATTTGTGCCATTGCTCAGGGGAGTGGTTTGGTTTAAAAAAAATTACTTATTTGGCTCAGATAATTTTATCTGAATAACGTTTTCCATCTAATTTGCGGTGCAGCCACTTGGTATTTCTGCTTCTCTCAGGGAATTGGGGGTGGCCTGGGTACAAAATGAGCATCTGGAGATAATGGATTGCTTTCTAATTTAATTGTTCGTGTCATTTATCCAAGTTTAAAGTGTTTGTGCAACTACTTTAGTATGAACAAAGTGGTGGTATGGGCAGAACACTTAACTGTGTCTGGGTTATTGTGGATGGTCTTATCACACAGCAGAGCCTGAACCTCTCTGCATTCTCAGTTATCCTGGACCAAAATCCCCTCCTGCTTTTTTACAGAGAGGGGAGATTAATGGGTTTCGTTC